CTTTGCTAATCTATATGACCTTTTTATGCAGCTAAGATTCACTCTTAGAATTAATCAACCAACAAGTGTGTTAAAATCTTTTTAGAGTAAACTGGAGTCATAAATAAGCAGTCATTTAGTAGATCCTTCTGTTATCATGAAAACAATACTATTTGATTTCAGGTTCTGTAATGGTCTTTTCTTAAGAAGTCTTGGTGGTGCAATGTTCAAGCATTTGGCCGCTAACTTAAAGGTCAACAATTTGAACCTGCCAGCCACTCTGCAGGGAAAAGACCTGGCACTGTGCTCTTACAAAGACAACAGCCTAGAAAACTGTAGGTTGTTTTTAAGTGCCATCAAGTCAGTTCCGACCGATAGCAACCCTGTACAGGGTTTCCGGGACTGCAAATATTTATGGGAGCAGAAAACCTCATCTTTCTCCTGCGGAGCAGCTGGTAGTTTCGAACTGCTGACCTTAAGGTTTGCAGCCTGATTCGTAACGTAACCACTACACTACCAGAGCTCCTTAGAAAACGGTATGTGGCAGTCCTATTTGTCCTATGTTGTTGCTAAGGGCCCTGAAGTTGGTTCTGACTCATAGCAACTCTGTATATTTGTTCTATAGGGTTGCTATAAGTTAGCGTCTATTCAACATCATACAACAACATTCTTATAGGTATATAGATAAAACCGGAACAAATATTTTAGTAGGCATACACTAAGACATTCTATTTCCCAGATTTTTGCTTTTGAGAGTAGTTTTCAAGTCTGTGGTTTGAATTAACTTTACAAACAATGTGGTTTGAATTGACTTTACAAACAAGGCTTAAAATGATGTCATTCTGATGGAAGTATATTCAGCTACATGTTCTGAGGACTCCTGCTATGGCTCTGTAGGATAAGCACTAGACTGGGATTGCTAAACCCAGGTCAGCGATTCAAATCCATCAGCCACTCCTCAGAAATTCTCTATCAGATGGCTGAGTCGGAACTGACTTGGCAGCACTTGACAACAACAACAACAACAGCATATTCTAGACAAAGTGTGCCAACCAGATAACGGCTTTCAGCTTTTTTTCTCCTTGTTCAGAAAGGGAGACACTTTGCTTTTTAGGTTTTCATCTTTTCAATATACTTTTTCTGTGTTACTGAAATTATTCTTTACATAGAACTTAAAATATTTTTATCTACCATATACTAGTTAACCAGCTTAAAGAAAGAAAGAAAAAAACAAAATCCCCAAGATAACTCCTTTACAAGATTGTCAAGGCCACTGCAATCTAATCTTAGCCTACATTTTCGTCTACAAACCTTATACTCTTGCCAAAAACCTTGCTAGGTATTAGGGATTAAAGATAGTAAAAGGGATATACTTAGTTTTTAAGGAGTTCCCAATCAAGTAGAATTAAAAGACATATAAGCAACTAAGCAGAAACCAGTAATGGGATGAAAGCTATAACACAGGTGATTTACCTAGACATTCCTGTTAGAACCAACAAAACCAAGCAATGAGTTTTGCCTGGGGAGGTTACAAGCTTTTCACAGAAAGGATGAATTTTATCTTTGGTGTTAAATAATTAGGAGATTAAGTAAGCTTATTGTTGTTAAGTGTCATGGAAGCAGTTCCAATTCATAGTGACCCTGTTATAGCATTTCTGAGGATATAAACTTGACAGGAGCAGAAAGCCTCATCTTTCCTTTGTGGAGCAGCTGGTGGGCTAGAACCACAGACCTTGTGGTTCACAGTCCAGTGGTTATCCTACAGAGCCACTGTACTCCCTTATTCAACAGGCAGATAACAGAAAATGTTTTACCAGGCAAATAAAATTAAATAAACTTTGATTACATGAAAGTACCTAGGACATTTAAGAAAAAGTACTTTGGTTGGTATGAAGTAAGACTGTTAGAAAAAATGGTAAATAAGATTGTAAGAAAGGTGGTAGACAGACTGGGAAAGGCTGGATATGCTGTAAAGGACCAAAGTGCCTACCATTCTTTGTTTTGTTTGCTGAGCAAGCATTCTGGTCCTTCTTGTTCTGGTAACAGATCTCTCCATCCTTACCAGGGAGCAGGCATCTGATCCAGGCCTGCCTAGTCTAGGCAACAGTGGTGCAAGTGATGGACACCCTTCTAAAACTCATTCAAGGAGAAACCTTCACTGGGGTCAACACAGTCAGTTGGAGAAAGAAGTATACTCTTTTCTGTTGTATGGCTAAGCAAGGGCTACCTGTGATTAGGTTACTTTCTGTCCAACATGCAGAAATGTGATAAATACACAGTTCCAGGCATGTTGAAGTCCTGTTCATCTTTAAGGCCATGGCTCCTGGTACACGTTCTTGTTTTCAAATGTAACCATAAATTTCTTCTCAGCCACATGAGCAAATGAATTCTTACTTGGCGTAAGTGAATTTGAGTTATAGTTCTATTATTTTCAACTAATTAAAACAGTCCTGATTGATATATATGCCATGTTAAGAACTTTGTTTTACATAGTAAAACACTGGGAGCCACAAGAAATTTTAAGACAAAGTGTTTTTGAGCAAGTGATATAACAAAAGTGCATTAGAAAGACAGTTCCAGTCAGGGCTTCAAACTGGCTCATTCTAGTTCGACCTCCTGCTTAAAATTTGCCATTTCTACCTAGATATTCTGAATCAGAATCTACATTTTCAATAAGATCTTAAGTATACATTAACAATCATCTGTGGATTTTGCTAAAATGTAGATCTGATTTAGTATATCGAGGTGGAAATTTAAATTCTCAGTAGGGGATGAACTGGAATGAACTGGTTTGAAGCCCTGGTTCCAGTGAATGGTACAGAAGATGGACTGAAGTGTGACTGAAGGCACCTCTTTCAAAAATTTGGTTCTTCAACCTTAGAGTTTCTGGCTATTGGAATTCTAGCAGCTCTTTACTTGTATCAGACTCAGTGGTTCTCAAATGTCAGCTTGCATCAGAATCACCTGGAGGGCTTGTTAAAACATGATTACTGGGCCTCAGCCTGGGAGTTTCTAACTCAGTGATCTGGGGTGGTGGTGGTGGTGGTTATGTGCCATGAATCTGGGGTTGTTGTTGTTGTGAAGTGCCGTCGAGTCGGTTCCGACCCATAGTGACCCTGTGTAGGGTTTTCGAGGAGCAGCTGGGGAGCTTCAACCACCAACCTTGCAGTTCAAATGGCTTTTCAGTCTGGCGCATTAACCCACAGCGCCACACCAGGACTCCTGGATCTGGGGAAGTGGCTGATAATTCTAACAAGTCCCAGGTGAACTGATGCTACAGGTTTTTGGGCCACACTTTGAGAACCAGTCGTCTAACACATTTCATTTGGGCCATATTTTACTGAATGTGCACAACCTTTTTAGACTACAAAGATTTTATCTTTGTCAAACTCTCAGTTACTAATATAAAGCTTTGCACAGTCATTATTATGCGTTTAAGAAGCACTAGTGGTGCAGTGGCTAAATGCTTGACTGGCAAACAAAAGGTTGGGAGTTCATTCCCACCAGATGCTCTGTGGGAGAAAGACATCACAGTCCGCTTCCACACAGATGTACAGTCCTGTAAACACTCTGATGTAGTTCTCTCCTATGCCTTTGCTCTAAGTTGGAATCACCAATGGTAGTAGGTTAGGTTTGTTTGTTTGTTTTTTGGTATAGTATGCTTAATTGTGAAGCTAAATTTAGCATCTTACTGTATTAAATTTCATTAGTTACTACTTAAACACAGATTCCCTTAGACAATGAAGTATGTAACTAGATAAAGGAATGAAAGTCAGACTACATCCTGAATTCTTTTGGGCTGCCAGTTTGGTGATGGCTCCTATCTGATTTCTTTTAAGCTTTGGCCCTAAAAGGATAATGATTATTTTCAAATATAAGAAAGTTTGAGACACATAATCCTAGATAAGTAAGGTTAGTGTTGTTGTTTTTTTCTCTTTCCTGCATGTGTTTCTACCTTCTTCTTGGGTTAACTAGTATCAGAGCAGAGATCAACCCCAGAGGAGAAAATATAGTCATTTTCTCATCCTGATGTTCAGAAAAACTGACCAAACTTAGTTCTTTTGTAGTTGTTATATGGCAAAATATTCTGTCCTTTTAGACTCTTTGCCTTATTACCTTATTATTCTGATTTGTGGATGACTTATGTTGCAGAGTAGAACTGTGCTCCACAGGGTTTTCAAAGTTGTAAGCTTTATTTAGTGACTTACACACTGGACTGCTAACTGCAACGTCAGCAGTTGTAATCCACCAGCCACTCTGCAGGAGAAAGATGAAGGTTTCTGCTCTTGTAAAGATTTACAGCCTTGGAAACCGACTTGAGGGCACAGAGAAACAGTAGCAGTAGCAGCAGCAGTTCAAACCCACCAACTGCTCCATGGAAGAAAGATGAAGCTCCCATAAAGATTTACAATCTCAGAAACCCTATACAGGGCCACTATGAGTCACAATCGACTCGATGACAGTGGATTTAAGGTTTTTTTGGCTTTAACCTTTAGGAAGCAGATTGCTGTGTCTTTTGAGGTACTTCTGGGTGCAATCAAGCCTCCCATCTTTTGGTTAGTACTAAAAGATTTAACCATGTGTACCACTCAGGCCTCCCTTTAGCCTTATAACTATTTAAAACAACAGATGAAAATAATAAAAATATTATTATTTTTTAGCTATGACATTAGATTTTTAGGAACTAAAAACCCAGCATGAAACCTGCTATCATCAACACTGTGAACTAGGGAAAAGGCAAGTGTTGAGGGAATACAATTCACACCAAATCTCTGGTACTTCTACTGAAGCTGACATCCTATCTTTTATGAACTCACATTGGTAGCTTCTGGAAACAGATATGGCTAGAAACCAATCTGCTGTAGATACTTGATCTTTTTCACAGCATGTGTTTCCTGTATTTAGAATGATCTTTATAATTCTTATAGCATTGCTAGGTAATGGTATAGAGCATTATATAGAAGTGGATACACTATTTTTGCATAGAGAAAAGGAAAGGAATAATTGTAAAATAGTGTTACCTTAGGCATCCTGTGACGTTGTAGAATATATCAAAATCGAGCAAACCATTTGCTTTGGGGTAGTCTCCTTCTGGCCACCCGGAAAAGGGAATGATGATATTCTCAGTTAGGGTAAGTAAGGCTTCTGTTATCATGAGGTTCTTGAGTTTGTCATTAGAAGACAGATTCCACAGCAAACCTACAGAAGTAAAGAGCTACCATCAACCAGAGTAGGGTAGAGCTGAAATGCTTGTTGAAAAGATCAGTTAAATCCAATACCTCCAGGACTATGACTCACTAAAAAAAGAAGCAGGGAGAGAGCTGTTTTTCCACGGAACTAAACACGCTGAGAGTGTATTAGATGGCAATGTTAGATGACCCATAGGGATAACTTTAAAAAGTGTTTCTAGCTTTTGACAAAAAACTATGGCAGTTTGAGTTAATCAGGAATGTGAATGAAAACCATAAATACTTAAACATTGCTGTTTCTCCTAAAAGATCCTGCCATAAGCTGACCTCACTAGGACAGTGAATTCTGAGCTCACCAACAGGGAGGTTTGATTTGATCATAATGATCCATTAACATTTTAAGAGTCATAAATCATTTTTCTTTTAAATTGTTGTTGTTGTTGTTAAGTGTTGAAATGACTCCATCTCATAGAGACCCTGTATAGTGTCTCTGTGGAGCAGCTTGTGAGCTGGAACCACCGACCTTGCAGTCTAGTGCATCAACCCACAGTGCCACACCAGGGCTCCATGGAAAAAATAACTCCCCCGTCTCCTGCTCCTCACTATCTGTAACTTTCTCCTGACATTTTGCAACCTATTAATAGCAGGAAGTGTCTACAGAATGCTTTTCCTATGCCTGTCAACAGCAGGCTGAGCAACATCCCCAGTGAATGCTTATTGACTCCTACCCAATGATAAAGCTATGTCTCCCCGGAACCTAGACTGGCTCATTTCTTTCTTCTCCTTTAATTTATTATTCAAGAAGAGACAAGAATATCTTCTCCATCTTTCAACTTGCATTGTCTACACATTCTTAAGATCAGTACCACATTTACTAATTTAATTTTCCCTTTCCTCTCAAATACCCCACATTAAGGCTATATAAGCCAACTAATGAATAGTATATTGTGCTTTCCATGATATTTGTGAAATAGAGAGTGGGTACTGAACTAAGAAACAAAACAACACAAAGTAACATATATGTTTCAGGATTTTTTTTTTTGCAAATTTGGAATTTAGTGCTCAAATATTTTTGATTCAGTGGAAGGGCTGGCTACACCTATTGCTTGCTAATCCAGTGACTTCCAGCAAGTGTAAAATTGCTTTGTCATCTTTCATGTACAAATGTTATTGTTGTTAGGTGCCATCAAGTCAGTTCTAACCCAGAGCAACCCTGTATAGCATTTCCAAGGAGTAGCTGGTGAGCTTGAACTACCAACCTTGTGGTTCAAATGGACTTTTTAGCCTAGTGCATTAACCCACAGAGCCGCACCAGGTGTCCTCATGTCGGAATAAGTTACTCTAAATCACTACTATCCAGGATAAAAGGGAATAAAAAGAAAGGAGAACTCTTCCCTCTCTGGCTCCGATGCCCCCAGTTAATAATTTCTACTCCTTAAATGTACTGCCTGTCTGAGTGAGGTATATAAGCATTCTATTAAAAAAAGAAGGTGGCAGTGAGACAGTCTTCAGAAATATGGCAGTCTTGGCTGAGTTGTGTGGTGAAATCATCTCCCCTGATTCTAATGATTGAAATAACAGTCTATATGCTTAGTTAAAGCTTGGTAATTATTCAACCATACTTGTATTTGGCCCAGTTATGACACTCAAGGCCTAATGAGTTCTTTTGTGCTTAAATAGCCCAATTAACTAATTTCTGAGCAGTAACCGAATTTCCATTGCAGCCTACATATAGCTTCCATTAGCTACAATGACACCAGGTCTAGCGTCTTATGAGGACTAAATTTTGGCTTATGGGTAGGTCTGTTCCTGATCGAACTAGCAACTGGAGTTAGATATAAGCAGTGTTCAGCCACAGGGTTGCAACACAATGACTTCATTCCTCCCACTTTATCATAAAAGGCACTGGAAGGGAGTGAGACAGTAAAACACTGAAGGTGGTTGAAAACTATTTAAATGCAGGTCTGAGGTGAAGTTTTGTTACCATGCTACAAAAGAAAGTTAAAAAGAAAAGAGAGAGAGAGAGAAAAAAAAAGAAAAACGAAAAAAAAAGCTCCCTGACTACTTCTAAATAAGCAAACAAATTAACAGTCTCTGCTTGCCAGAGGCTTAAAACTGTGAAGCATAATAACATTTCCTCCTTTTAAAAAGGACCACACAGGGTACTCAAAGGAAAATATACCTTAAATTAAAAGCCAGAGAGGATTAATTTGAACAAAGGGACTGGAATTTTCTTTCAGTAGTCAATGTCTTTTATAGCTTGGCATGCTACGTTATTTCTGCAGTAAGCATATATTTTGGGGAGTTTTGGTATAATTTTTGAGTATCGAATGTAGGATACGGTGTCCAGGTGTGGGGCTTATGATAAACACTGGACTGCTAACCATAAGGTTGGTAGTTCAAACCCACTAGCTGCTCTTTGGAAACCTGATACAGGGACTCTATAAGTTGGAACATACTCAATGACACTTAACAACAACAATGATGTAAGATATTGTATAGAAATGTTATAGATGTCAAAATTCTGTTTGAGCTGAAGGTGGGAAAGATGTAACATGTTCAACAGGGAATCGGGGTTATATATATTTATATATAAACATACATACACAATAAGTAAAGGGCCAATTACCTGAACATTTTGATGAAAGATTCTATAGAAGAATTCTGATCAAAAGGGGGAAAATACAGAACAGAACTTCCAATTCTCATGAAAAGTCATGAAACTATTGCCTTGAGATAATCTTTCAATCTTAAACCAACAGGATCCCCTGAAATTGTATTTAAACCAAACCACAGTAAGAGTAACAACTGTAGCAAGAGTAAAGAATATCTGTCTTAAGAATTGTGCTCTTTGAAGATCAAACTGGGATTAAATTAACAAAAGGAACTCCAAAGGTTAGGAAATTTATGGGGCAATGAGTTTATTTACTGGAGAAGGAACAACTCAGAAAAGGAGAGTGAGAATGACTGCAAAACTCCAAGAATGTAACCAGTGTCACTGAGCTGTACATATACAAATTTGCTGATATGGTGTCTATTCTGCTGTGCATATTATAAAAAACAATAAAAATAAAATCATAAAAAAGGAAACAATTAATTGCATTGTTGTTGTTATATGCTGTCGAGTCAATTCTCACTCACAGCGGACCCTGTACAGGGTTTCCAAGGAGTGGCTGATGGGTTTGGAATGCCGACCTTGCAGTTAGCAGTCCTGTTCTGTGCTAATCCTACAATGCCTCACAGGACTCTGATTAATTGCATACTGGCAATATATTATGAGGAGGATCCAGAAAATTTGTGGAAAAGTTCCACTGTCTTTTAATTCCATTTTCCCATGAGAGTTTTCTTGTATAACAATATGACAGAGGGCTAATATCCTTAATACATAGAATTCTTGTTGTTGTTAAGTGCCATAAAGTTAATTCTGACCCATAGCGACCCTGAGAGGGTTTCTGAGGAGCAGCTGGTGAGCTTGAACTGCCAACCTTGCAGTTCAAACTGACATTGCAGTCCAGCACAGTAACCCACAGCAGCATACCAGGACCACACAGAATTCTTATGCACTACTAAAAGATGAAATGCCAGTAGAAAAACTGCTAAACACAATACCCAAAGGATATTGTTGTTGTTGTTAAGTGCCGTTGAGTCAATGCTGATCCATAATGACCCTGTATAGGGTTTACGATGAGCAGCTGGTAAGCTTGATCCACCAAACTGGTGGTTCAAAATGACTCTGCAATCCTGTACATTAACCCACATCACCACACTATGACTCTCAAAGAATACTAGGGATTAATATATATAGGAAATGGAGTCCTGGTATGGTGCTACAGGATAAGCACTGGACTTCTAACCACAAGGTTGATGGTTTAAGCCTACCAGCTGCTCCTCAGAAATGCTATACAGGGTTGCTGTGAATCAGAACCAATTCAATGGCACTTAATAACAACAATATACATGAAGAAAGCCAAAGGTTATTAAAAAGATGGGAAAGAAAGACAAGACCAAAATGGATGTCAGAAGAGACTCTGAAACTTGTTGTGTGCAGAGAACCAAGAGCAACTGGAAGGAATAAGGAAGTAAAGAGATGAACAGAAAACTTCAAAGGGCAGCTCAAGAAGACGAAGTCAAGTACTGTAATGAAATGTGTAAAGACCTGGCTCTAGAAAACCAAAATGGAAGCAGCATGCTCCGAATTCCTCAAGCTCAAAGAACTTAAGAAAAAGTTCAAGCCTTAAGTTGCAATATTGAAGAATACTATGGACAAAATATTGAAGTATGCAGGACGCATCCAAGTAAGTTGGAAGGAATACACAGAGTCGCTTTACCAAAAAGAATTGGTTGATATTCAACTATTGCAAGAGATAGCATATGATCAATATCTGATGGTATCAAAGAAAGAAGTCTAAAATAATTGAATGCGTTGGCATAAAAACAAGACTCTAAGACTTGATGGACTACAAATTGAAATGTTTCAACAAACTGATGCAGTGCTAGAGGCACTCAATTGTGTATGTAAAGAAATTTGGAAGACAGCTAACTGATGGAAAGATAGCCATATTTGTACCCATTCCAAAGAAAGATGATTTAACAGAACGTGAAAATCATCAAATAATATCTCATGAAAGTAAAAATTTTGCTTAAGATTATTAAAAAGAGTTGCTCCACATCAACAGAGAGTTGCTAGAAATTCAAGGATTCAGAAGAGGACATGGAACAAGGACATGGAACACAGAACTGCTGACGTCACATGAATCTTGGCTAAAAGCAGACAGCACTAGAATGATGTTTACTTGTGTTTTATTGACTAGGCAAAGGCATTCCACTGTGTGGATAATAACAAACTATGCATAATGTTGTGAAGAATGGATATTCCAGAACACTTTGATGTGCTTATGAGAAACCTATACATAGAGGCAGTTTTTTTGACGAGAACAAGGGGACACTGAATGGTTTAAAATCAGGAAAGATGTGAGTAAGGGTTGTAGCCTTTCACCATACTAATTCAAT